GGCTAGGGTGCCTGCCAGGAGCTGTATTTTAGGAACATTCGATGCAGGGCAGGAATCTGTTCCCAGGGGCTGGCTCTTCTCAGGACTAGCTGCTTCCTTGAATATTCATTCTGTTCCCATATTTATGAAAAATTCACGGGACAGGAGGAGCTTTTTATCTCCCAGTTAATGCCTTCATTCAGTGAGTCCCTTTAAACAGACAGTGAAGAAGAGTGGGTACTCTGAAGAGAAATTAAAGGCACATTACATCAGTCTCATGCTGTGCTTTGCCTTTGAGAGACTTCTCTGCCCCTTCACTGACCTGGCTTCCCAATGAGGCCTGTAAACTAGGGAATTCCCCCCAACAAGCGTGCTTTCTTACAAGGTTGTCAAAATGTCCAGGATACCTGCCTGGCCTGTCTGTACTTCTGACCAAATCAACCAGCACCACTGGAGATCACACAGGAATTAAAGAAATGGCATTGGCAGGAGCAGGTTTAACACCCCAAGCCTATCAGGGGAGAGAATGCAGTATTATTGATTCCAGCCCCTGACCTTGGAGTGATGTAAACAGGAGTGCAGCAACCCTAGAGGAGTTGTAGCAAAATAGTTATAGCATTGCAAGCAGATTAAAAATACAGTTAATATACATACTTCCCCAGATGCTTGTTCATTATTATTCAAGACATGTTTATTATGCAAAATGATAAAGCAGAAAAAAAGGAGAGGAAAAGAAAATGCAAAGAAACACTGAGCTTTTAGTATGACTGGGGTTTTCTCAATGCTGCTTAGAGTTTTTTTAATCATTCCCTTATTAGCAGAAATCTTTGAAGTGATTCAGGCTCTAATTTCAGCATTTCAAACTCATAGGTTTATACTGAAAAACCATAGTGAGCTCCTGTAAGTGACCCATTTTTTTTCCTCTGTATTCTCTATCTCTGCTAGGGTTTTCTACGTCTTCCCAATAAATTATGTATCACAATTTGCCATTTCAAAAATAATTAGAACTCCAAGTTAAACATCAAGGAATATCTGAGAGCAATACATTTTCGAAGAGAAGTGTTTTGCACTTGGGGCAAACCCAATCCCAGCTGCAATGCCACTGAATTATAGATATCATCATATTGAGAGATGCACTTCCAGTGTACTTGGAGTGATTGGGTGGACCTGGGGAGACTCTACAGCCCCATGGGGAAGATCTGCTCCAGGAAAACCAGGTTTGCCTCCCAGGCAAAATACTTCACAAGCACTCCCTTTCCCATGCCCCTGTATAGGGAATAACAGAGGGAAAGCTGGGAAGCAAGGGGAGAAACTTCACAAAGTTACACAGGAGTGGAAATTAATTTGGGAGTGAAACTATTAACTCCAGACAGACAGGGGAGCATGTTCTGAGTCTTCTCCTGTTAGGATTATTTTGTAAACTCACAGGAGCAGGACAGACCTCTTTATTCCATGTTTCTGAATCCTGTACAACATTCAGCCCCTGGTCTCAGAGTCTTCCCATGTGCTGAGGCACTGTAAGTTATACCCACTGCCCTCCATTCATTCTGTGCAATTTTACTTTGGCTTCAAATGCTAACAGTGGATCTTCAGGAGAGTCAAGCCCCTCCCCATAACAGGTGCTGATTGATACCTTTGTGCACCCTCAGGGAATTTACAGTTGCTGTAATTCCAGGAAATCCAAACTGAACACACCAATGACTCCCCAAGCTTGCTATGCAGACATTGGCTTGCATCCTACTTTCTGCAAATCAGGATGCCTTCAACTAAAGCATGATTTTCTTGTCTGCTTATCACCCAATTCCCATGTCGACCTCAGAGATAGCAATAACCTAGTCTGGCAGAAACTTAATCAGGTATCTAGTGTGAGTAAGCAATGCACAAGTCCCAAGCTGCTTCCCAAACAAAGAAGGTTTAGCATCCAATAAATTTAGGCCTCTAAAGCTGGCTAGGAATATATGGTTGGCTTCAACCCAGCCTGACACTATCCCTGCCTGAACAGATGAGGCAGGGATGAGGAAACTCAATGTGGCCAAGCCACCAGAAGATCTTGCAAGTTTCTAGGAAATGCTGTCTCACCACATTTGGCTTTAGAGGACTCTACTCAGCCCTACTTTTGTGCTAATCAACACAAGGAAGACTTTTTCCAGGGGCTGGTTATTCTAAGCCCATTCATTCAAGAGCCCATTGGCCTAAACTCAGAAGGAGCTGGCAGAAGCCATCCTTAAGACCAGGCTGATAACAGCTCTGGTTTGATCCAGGGCAGAGGATGTCAGCCAAGACCTCATCTGTCACACAGAGATTAAACATCACTAAAAACCCCACAAAACAAAACCAAAACAAACCCACAGTGATGATGCGTTCAGTTGCAGCATCAATCTGGGTTCACGAGGAGCAAAAAGACCCCAACCCAAACCAAAAACAAACAAAGAGGAAAAAAACCATTACCCTGGACAATTTTATTTGAAACTAGTCCTGGATTTGAGGGTGTTCTAAGAAGTCTTTACAGAGCTTCCACGCAGCATGGAAGGCAGCCAAGCAATTCATTTCTCAATTGGCTCATGTAAGTGAACAGTATCTGTGGGGAATGTTGACCCATTTTTTTCAGAAATCCCCCAAAAAAGGCTAGTGAAAAAACCCAGGTACACACATAGAGAACAAAGCTATAGTTTAGGGTCTGCTAAGCAAAGACCAGGGACAATAAGTCCCCTTGGTGTAGTCAGCAATGAGGTCCAGGCACCATGGCCTGGGGACCCTCACCCCACAAGGAAACCTGCAGCATCCAAAAGAGACTGCCTAAACAGGTTGAGCTCTTTTCAGACATATCTTCTTTCATGGCATCCTGATCTCATTCCTTGTCCTTTACAATGAGCTTGACCTATACTCCCTGCTCCTAACACACTTTATCCCCAAATTTTCTATTTTCTTGCTTTGGGGTTTGCTCACAAGCACAGTGAATTCATTGATTTACTGCTGTAAGACAAAAACAGGGCCACCAGTCATCACAAGGAAATTATCCAAAAAGGTCCATCACCCTGGAGTAGAACATCACACATTTACTGCAAACAGAAACCTTGGATCACATTGATAAAATGAACAGTTTCACTCTTATTAGCTCAGACAGAGCTCAATGCCATCAAGCTGTGGCACGTAATGAGGTTCACTTCATTAACCACCGGCCATCACAGTGCATCCTTCCCCATCAGCCTTCCCTGATTAACCTTCCTACTCAAAACAGGCACACTTGTTGGAAATAAGCAGGCCCATTAAATCTCCCTCATTTGAATACATGTGTGATCTGGTGCCTTTTAGGATACTTGAAATGACTAACAGATGTGTTTCCTGGACAGCATGGTCCTCCTGCTGTCTACCACCTCTTGGTGTGTCCCTCCCACCCTTTATATCGTGTCTGACTATTACTAGAGAGAGAAGATTTTTCTCTGCATCTCCTCTAGTCTCGCAGCCATCAAACATCATTTTTTCCAACTCTCTATTTCTTTTTCTCAAGACCCACACCTTTCTCTCCCCTGCACTACTTATTCAGAAAACAATGACCACTCATTGGCCCAGGTGGACCCCGTTGGCTGGCTGTGGCCCTATGACACACTCTGATTTCCTGCAATCCTCATTTACAGGATACTGATAGTACAAAGAGTCTCAGCACTGGGCCAGAACTGTGTTCTGCACAGCAAAAACAGGGCAAAGCATCAGTCCTGGGCCCCTGACAATGTGCCCAGAGGGACACACACGCAATAATGCAGTACCACACTGTGCTCGGTATTACCTTTAGGACTTGATAGCTTTACAAAGAGAGGAAGTTTTCATTGTTAGTAAACCAATTTAATTTATTTAGAAGCAGTCAATTATGTTTACTGGGCTATGAAAGAACAGGAAGCGTCTGGCATCCACAGAGATCCAGACTGATCTCTCTGTCTCTTCTTGACAAGCAGCCAGTTTTGAGACCTACCTCGCCAGGCATACTAACACCTCCTCTTGCTTTCTACCCTGAGCTTCTGGGGAGATAGAGCCTTGTCACAGCCCAAGGGAAAAGGGGAAATCTCAATCATGTGACCAGTATAAAACTGACCAAAGATGGAAGATAAAAGTTAGGAAAAATTGCATAGAGCAACCCAAACTGCTGTCCTTTCAGTGGTCCCATCATCATGCTCACAACACTTCTGAAGCAAAAGTGCCCAGACAAGAGCAGAATCACTGCACTGTAAATTTACACAAAGGCAGATGAGATTAGAATCTGGCTATGCTCTGTAAAGCTATCATAACCACAGAAATGAGAAGTGTATTATTAACTATCCCTTTTTACTATGTAGAACTAGAACAAAGTTATTTGAAGCATAAAAATTCTGGCAAAGGGTTGCCATATTTAATAAATCACCGAATCAATTATTCACTGTGAAAATCAATTACTTACTTTAAATGAGAATCTTATGAATAACCTCATGCCCTTTCATGCCATCTAAGAAAGTTATAAGGGAATTAGTCGGCAAAAATTGCTGCACTTATCTTTTACGTGCATTAAAAAGACCACACAAATACAGGGAATTTCTGCCAACAGAACAGTCCAGAACCCTTTTAAGAGAGTCAGGGTACTGCTGTGGATTTACACTGCAGTCAAAAGCAGAGTATGACCCATTGGGGTACCACCTATGATCAGTTATCTGGGTGCAATTCAGAAGCAATCCCAGCGAGTCCATGCTATTTCACAAATGAGAAATCAGAATATGACCAGCCAACTCTATACAAACGCCTCAACAACGTGACCTACATTAAGTACATACTTAAAGGAACCGAAAATGTATCTTCACAGGTCACGAAATATTGCCATGAATCTCCATGGAGACACTATTAAGTGAATATTGCATGGCCTTGCAGCAGCTCCCCCCGCTGCTGCTTTTAAAGGTTTGCTGATCTGTGACTGTTTTCAGCAAAAGCTGGAAGTTCCAGTGCAGTCTGCTTCCTCCCACCTACAAAAGTCCAGGAGCCCAACAGTGCAAAGTACTCACTGAGCTGTAGAGATATCCCTCAGCGTTCATGGCAACGTACAGACCTGCCTTCACCCCTTGGATTGCCACCACGCGAAGACCCACAGGAATTAGATTGAAAAGGGCTGTGGAAGGAAAAGAAAAACAAATGTTATGGACATGTCACCCTACATGGCCACTGCTGCTTTTGTCCCAGGGCTAGCCCACCCCACTCCTGCCTCTTCACAAAAGTGACAGCACTAGGATCAAGCATCCTGCTTCCAGCTACAGGGAAGGACTGCAGCCATGGAGCTGATGGTGAAAGGAAATTTTTAAAAGTACTGAGTTTGGCTGCCTCCCAAATGCCTTAACACACCCATCAGTCTGTCTGATCACTGCCTTTGCAATGCCAAGGGCTCATCCATGCTCCCAAGCAAGAGCATTACGATGGCTTTCTGAGGGCCAGCTGAGCCAGGGCAACTGCACATAGACAGACTTTGCCTGTGGCAAATGCAACAGCACAACTCAGTTTAGCTCCCCCTGAAACACATTTAAGCCTAGTCACACTTTCCTGCATTTGCCATATGCTAGAAGAGTACACAGACAGCAACTATGGCCAGAAGAATGCAAATTAACTTGACTGTGTGTTTGCCCATGTGATCCTGGGCTGTCAAGGGAATGAAGAAACTCAAGAAGAGATAGTGCTTCACTCTGGGACATCAGCACTGCTCCCCATTCAGGACCAGCACTGGAGAGGACAGAAGAGGACAAGATCTTCTATTATTCAGTTTTACTGCAGTCTTATTGATTAAAGCATTGCAGCCACTTCCTCTCAGTTAATTACTTTATTGCTTGATTCCCACCCAGCAGACCCTGTATCTCATTGAAAGACTCTCCCCATGAGTATATACATTAATGTGTTGTCAGGCTTCTGCTACATTTCTAACAGCATGGGCTCAAAGAGGAGACTATTATCAGCACTGATAGACTGAGCACTGAAGCATTAGCATGGCTTTGTTTCTACTGAGCTTTATAGGACAAGAGTATTTAGATGTTGCAGGATCCCTTGTGCTTCAGCTTACAAAGAGCTAATTAGAACTCATCCCAGGAAGATGAAGATAGGGAAAGATGGGCACAGGGTCAGGCAGAAATATAAGCACACAGTGGAAATACTTCACTCAAGGTCCCTTCCTATACAACAGCCCTGAAACAAGAATATGCAATGCCACTTTGCTCAGGACATCTACCAGGTGTCTTGGCTGTACTGGTTTCAGGGTTGCCTCCAAAAGAGGATCAATAAATTCCAGTGCACGTGAATGCAATTTTTTCTTCACTTAATTCCCAAGGAAGACCGATGACTCCCTTCAATGACCTGCCTAAAATGGAGACGCCTCAAGTCTAGTGAAAAACCCCTCATCTCAGTCTCTTCTTGTGCTTTTATGCACCATATTCCATAAAACATCAAAGCATGTGCTGAAGTCTTACCAAATCCAGTGCCTGTATGTGTGTTTTTGGGGGAGAATGTCAATAGATGTAAATGGAAAATGCAGTCCAGGCTGGGTATTGGTCTGTGAATAACTGGAGTCAAGGACAGTGCTACTTTGGTACTGTCCCTAGACAAGACAAACACATCCCAGAGTAACTACTCAGCATTAAGTGTTGCCTATCCCTTTCTCCCTACCATGAAGGTCTAAAACCTTGTGCAATTAACAAGTCTATAAGCAATTCCCCTTCCCTATTTCTTCCTCCTACTGAAAAATGGAGCATATTACTGCTAATAATGAAACAAAATGGGCATCATCATTCATTTCCTACAGCCAATTTGTCTTGCATAGGAAACTTGTGACAGACCATTCAAAGCATTCATTAGGCAGCAAGGTGATAACACCCAGAATTAGTGGTTGAGAAGTTCCACTTGGAAGCACCCACACGTTTCCAAATCTCTTTCCACCTCTACATGCAAAGGGAGCAAAGGAACAATCCTATTGTGCTGTGGTACAGTAGGAGGACCACTGCCAGTTCCCAAACTCCCTGGGACCCTGCTGCACCCACAACCATGGCACAGCCTCTCCTCCTCTAATGCAGGGGAGCAAGTGGGCAGGCAAGCATAAGAACACAACACTGACAGAGGTAACTGGCAGCCAAAAGAAGTTTTAGGAAGCAATTATCTTCCTCTATTAAAAAAACCCAGTAGTTTGGGTCAATCAAGATTCTGTAAATTCCCAGAGCAATGTCTGCACTCAAATCTAGAAATACCTTTGTAGAAGTTGATGCCTTTTACTATCATGCTTCCAAATAAATATTTCATATTTTGAACAGATTTAAAAGCTTATAAACTTAAAAGTAAGAATGTAAAAATGCAGGGAAACCCCTCAATCAACCTCAAAATCAAGACGACTCATTTTTTGTCTTGAAAAAAAATATCTGATTGATTTGAAACAGCAGATTTGAAAATGGGAAAGAGGACTAGCTACGGTAGAATAGAACTGCACACCGGGTGTGTTGATGCGAGAAACAGAAAATTTAAAAGATGCTTTTAAAATTGTAAATGGCACATGTTCTATGCCATCTGCAGCTTCATGGAAGGAACATGCTCTTTTACTTCATGGGCAAAAGGGGAAAAAACTTGAAGATGCTGAATATTTGTGCCCCTTTTCTTTCATTACATCTTACCATCTTCAACCAGTGGTATTTACACCTGACCCTACTACTTCTGGCACACTCCAGTCCTAAATGCATGAGCATATTGTCACTGTTATGTTATGGTAATTTATCAGCTAAATTCTGAATGCATTATTCCCTATGGGTCTAAGTTATCTACAGAAATGGAAGAGTGAGGCAAGACCTACCATATACAAGGTGTGCTCCATATGCTCAACTTTAAACAGCAGCAAGTCAGAGGAGCTAAAGTAATTTAGAACAGGTGATTTGTTCTTGAGCAAGACATTTGTGCTGTAGGTGAATAACAAAGAACTGATGGAGGATGCAATGGGCCAGAGCAGCCTCAGTGCATGAGGTGGTGAGGATTAAGGTCCTGAGGGGAGGGAGGAAGGCTGCTGAGATGATCAAGAGGCTCTGGTGCAACACATAATGAAAGAAGAAACAGAGTGAACTGCATTTTCTTAACTCAAAGACGGCAAAGATTCTTCTCAGAGGAACACAATGAAAGGACAAGAGGCACTAGACAAAAGCCTCAAATAGAAATGAGGTCTGGATATGAAGAAAATCCTCTACAAGGAAAATAGTGTAGCACCGGAATCTGAGAGGTTATGAGAGATTATGGAATAGCTCATTCCTAGAAATGTTTGAAAGAACTCAACAAGGCTCTGTACAGCTGAAGATAACCCAAGTGGGATACTGGAATAAAAGCCTCTTTAACCTTTTGGTGTTTCTGGCTGGAAAGCCCCCAAAAATCTCCTAGATATGCTGGGCTGTTTCCACCTAGTCAGTCCAGTTCACCTGTCCTTTCTGTACCATCCATTTGCCAAAACTTCTCAGATGTTCAGCAGGATTGTGTGGGGAGACAGGGAAGTCCACTTGCTCTTATGAAGGGGCATTACCCAGTGACAATGCAAGCACTGACAGCAGCAGTCAGCCCTGAAAGGCCATTTGAGATCACTGGAGCTGGAAGGAAAAGATGCTGCCCCAAAATGGGGCTCATGCATCACAGGAGGAGCACAAACAGGGGCCACACACCATGAAAATGCACTCCAGTGGGAAGAGAACTCTCCACATATGCCAGAGGCAGTAGCCAGGGAATGTGCCCCCTTGCTTACACTGAGATGGCACGTCTCTAACAGCATGGCAGAAGGAACAGATGTCCCAAGTGCTGGCTCCTGGGAAGCTGGCTGGATGCCCATTCAAATGCCATTAGAATTTGGCCCCTGGGTTTTTTTTTCTTTAAGTGAGAGGAGGTGGAAAATAAATGCCATTAGTTTCAAGAACATACATAAAATGGGCAACAGATAATTAATTTTAAAATTGCTTAAATATTAGCAGTTCCTCTAGCATAAATAACTGGGTTTTTATTAGAACTTTTAATTCCATCAGATATATCTGAGGGACATGGCACATCTCATTTTAAACATTAATTTTGTCAGAGTAAACCAACCTAATGTATTCCAAGAAAATTATGCATCCTTTCACAATGCTAATTTGAATAATCAGTGTGGGGATACAGAACACAAAGCAATGTATGGAACACAGTGTTCACCAGCTGCTTAACTGTGCTAAGATGACTTCTGTGTGAAGAATAGATGGTCATCTAGGGTGGGAAGGATCCTCTTGTGGCCCTCTAGAGTGCCCTTCCCTGCTGTGGATGCAAGTTAACCAACTGCTCTTCAGGTATAGGAAAATATTATTTATCTAGTTTAGTCTTGGATGAGTTTTGCTCTTGCACACACTTCTGACTGGCTGGTCAGGAATCTTCTGCAGAACCACTTCAAAACAGAAAACTGCAGTGAAGCAAGTCTGTAAGCTGTTCACTTCAACAAGTAACTTTTGACATTCTTCTGGTCAAAATTTGAGTTTTTTTTTTTTGAGGAAGAGAAAAGAAAAAAGGAAATCTGCTTTATTTTGGCACTTCCAAAGTGCAAAATGTGATTTTGTTTCAAAGCTGTAACTGGAAGCTTTGTATATTCTAAGATGTTCATTCACACTGAAGATTTATTGATGAGACCATGTGGTAAAAAGCTATGTAAAATTGAATAAAGCACAGTCCTTATTTCATTTTCAGAAGCCAAATATTATCAGGTTGGATTCTTTCCCTCTTTTGAGATCCCTTGAGATCAGAAGATGGGGAATTCTTTGGCTTCAGTCTTCTCTCAAAAACTTGCCTAAACTTTCCAGCACAGTCCCTGACTTGGAGCCAGTGGCTTGGCACACTTCAGTGAGATGCCTCCTGTCCCACCAAGCTGCTGAGGCAGGGCTGCCATCTCACCAGATAAATTTACACTCTAGAACTGTACTCAGCCCATCTATTTCCAGTTAAGAACACTGGGTGGAAACGGCTCTCAAGTACTCAGCACCTGGCCAAACTCCTCTCTGACATTTCTGGGGGGATATATAAATCACAGCTCTTTGGGCAATGGGGGCCCAACCTCAGCCATGGGAACTCAGGAGGTTCCCCTGCAACCACTGAGAGTGCAGCAGCTCCCTCATCTCCCCTGTCACTCTGAAATATTGCAGAACTGCTCTTACATTTCTCTGCTGTTTACCTTAATTCATCCCTGCTCCCATTTAAGCCCATTACTTTGCTGTTCAGTCCTCCATGATAGATGAGGGCAATGAATCTCTGTCATCTCTAACATATCTTCTCATATTTTTGACAAATAGGCCTCCAATGGGATTTTCTGCAGTTTAAGAACACCCCAGGTTTTCTTCCTTTAAGAAAAAGCAGCAAATACAGCCCACTGAACTCACCCCATGTGTTGGTGTCTGCCTGAGATTATCTCAAGGCCAGACTCTTTTGAAGGAGACCTCCTGAGTCTCTGAGCATACAAGTGTGTGTGTGTCTAAGTTCAGATTCTCCTGCTCAACACATAAATCAGAAATTGCCTTACTGCAATTTTCAGTATATAATTTGTTCAATATGAGGGTATGAAAAAGGACTAAAACCTGACATTTGCATTTGATACAGGCCATGTTTCTGGTGGATGCAGCCTCTTGGGTCATTCCACAAGGGCTGTGCCAGCCACCTGCAATTTCAGTCACCATCTTCCCACAGCTCCTCTCTCTTGTATGGACCCCCAGCCCTGAGCTGCCTGCAGCAGGGAAGCCCCAGAACACAGCATGCTCCTGCTACAGCACCCTTCAGCTTCCTGGGGATGGGGTACACACCAGTGATGTGGGGCTGCAGCCACCCTGCACCTCTGTCCAAGTGCACCTTCACAGGACAGGGTCAATACTGCACTCCTACAGATACCCCTCACCTGCAGCCCAGGCCCTGCCTTCCTGGAGCAATGCCATCTTCAGTCCAGCCAGGAGCTTCTTTGAATTAGACCAAAATTTGTCTGCAAATCAAGCAGGCTCCTCCTTTCACAAAGTACATGAAGTTTGCTTCCACCAACCCTACCACACAGATTAACATTTATTCACTTCTAATAATGACTGGGAAGCCAAATTCCAAGCTGGCCAGGTTAAATACCCCTTTAGCAGTGGTACAGGGAGATCCAATCCAACATAGATAAGAAAAAGCAAGAATCCTACCCTGTTGATGCAATTTGTGGCAGCAAGGATCTGAACTTAACTGTCCACTCAGGGACAGCACTCTGATGCCTATGAAATGCAGAGATGCTGCAGAAAATATTCTACACCCTTTTAAACCTCTTGAAGAGCTTTGGCATTGACAAACCTTCCTCTTCAAAAGGAAAATTGACTCCTGCTTTGCATGCATTTAAACCAGAACGGCTCCTGCACATGGCCATGGCTTTTAAACTGTATGGCTCTGCTGCCCTTTGTCGTCCAGCACAAACCCAATGCTTTTGAACAGGGCTTTGGAAGATGACCTCCTTTGACAAGGTCATTTGATACCCTCAGCCCTTACACCAGCCTCAAAGCACGGGACTTCAGTGAACAGCTGCTTTTCTCCAGCCTAGAAATTCCTGATGCTCACTGAAATTTTGAGGCTAAAATAGTGAAAACGATTTTCTCCTCTTCTCCTTGGAGAGAGAATTCCCCGTATCCTTTACCCACGTGGCATGTGTATAAATATAATCTCCTTTCTCTTCTGGCAGCAATTCAAATCATGGGTTTTATTCTCCACCCCACCCAGATGGCAGTTACAGAATCGGGGCAGGAGGGAAGAAGATCGGAGAGGAAACATATGAAATTATACTGGCAAGATTTAAAGGGGACGGATAGAGAGAAAAAAATATGCAGAAAACAGCTGTCTTCCTCCTAATTTGATCCTTTCAAAAATGAAGTTGCACAAGTGAGACCCACTAGGTGATGCATTTGATTGTAATTGGGTTGCAAAACAGGCTAATTTTTCTTACTGTAGTCACTGTTTTCGTCCTTGGTCCCATCAATTGTACCATCTGGGTGCATCTGCAGGAAGTATTCCTGCTGGCTGAATAACCTTGTCACAATTCCTTTCAGCTGGGGTTCTGCAAAATAAAAATAATAATTATTACCAGATATACTGAGTAGCACAAGACCCAATTTGCTTGTCCCCCATTAAGCCCTGAGTAAATGTAGAAGTGCTTGGCAGGTAAGACTGCTTTCAGTGATTCCTTTCAAGCATGGCTGTAAAATATTCACATATAATACACAGACAGGCAAATACAATTGAGATCAGATGAGCAGGTAAAATGAAATGCATACTTGGTGCAGTAGAAACAGATTATGGAACATCAATTCTCTGAAAGTTACCTACCAAATGGAAGCATTTAGACAGTTGATGCATTTAGAATATGCCACTTGTTCAGAAGAGTATTTGCTAGCACTGTTGCAAAGAACGTGCCCATTGTTTCTTATCCTCCTTCTGAAGCCAACCACCTTGCTTTTTGTATGCTTGAGGCATTATCATGCAGTGCCAGTTTTATGCCAATGAAAAGCTACTAAAATCACTGGTATTACAGTGGTGTAAATCCAGAGCAACTGAGTGCTGAATCAGGGCTACATGTGAGTGCAACTGCATGGGATTTGGGGAGAAAAATTCGGAAAGGGACAGACACAAGACATCTCCAAAACTGATCTCTGAAGCAGTTATGGGCACCTCAGACCACATCTGTTTTAAAATCCTGCATGTTTTCCCCCTCCTAAAACATGTGCCACACACACTGGCAGATTAGAATCTTTGTCTCCAACAGGGCCCTTTCCCAGCCCCTGTGTATCACAAGCCAGTCATGCCCTGGCTGGCTCTTCCCTATTGCCTCTACATTTTATACCTTCCTGCTGAAGGCTAAAAGGAAAACATGAACAAAAGCAAAATCAGCTTGGACTCCACATGACAGAGGTGTGCAGCTTTATCAGCTGTCTCCTTGTCACCCTACCAATCAAACACAAATTAAGTGGTCAAAACCAAATTCAATTGTAATCATGCAAGTTTAAAAATTTCTCACAGCCTTTGCTGCTGGAACACAAGTGAGCTGACTGCCTGTGAGCAGACACACTTGCTGCATGGAGGAGATCCTCATCGTGTGACAGGACTTTGTGGTTTTATGTGACCACCCTCCAAAAGTAAATAAATAAGACCCAATTATTGCTGGCTCAATGGACAGGAAAGAATCCAGCGTAGCATACCAAAATCTCATCAGGCTCCTGCCTTTCATGCCTCTGGTGAGGCTGTTTAATAAGCCATGGTTGTTACATAACCGTGGTCACGTTGTGTGTTGATGTTCCCATCCAGAGCCCCGCTCCCGCTGCATCCCTGCACGACTCCCCTTTGGGGAACCCTCACCCTGCTCTCCTGCACTGACAGCAGCAGGCATCTCAGATGAAGACAGGCTGCAGGTGCAAGGGATTTCAGTTTCAGCAATCCCTACCCTAGCCAGGGGAGAGTCAGGTACTTTCTCACAGCTACAAAAGCCACCGAATAAATCAGATCATAAGGTTTCTGTGCTGCCTTCAAAAGGAAGTGATTTCAGTGCAGTGAGTGCTGTAGACTGCAGTCAGGCTTTCTCCCAGCAACTCTCAATGCTGGGACAGTAAATGAGTACAATTGTACTGGTCATCTACTAAGAGCTAGTGTTGGTCAAGCCAGCATATGTCAAAATGACACCTAGCAAAACACTTAGCTCATTCTTCTTATCTAAATGAAGTACCTATTTTGGTGATGTAGAAGCTTGATTTAACTTGCTCTTTGTTAGAAAAGCAGATCAAAGCTAGAGGAAATGAAAAGCTGCATTCTCAGGCACAGATGCCTACATCATCCTCCTCAAGTCTGTCCCCTTCCTCCCTTTTATCTAATACCACAATAGTAAAAGCACTAATAGGCACTCTTTGATATGAGACACCTACATTTGAGTCCCTGAATGAATCTTAGCCTTAATTTTACTCACTGGTTAAATTTTAATGTTGAAGTACTTTGCATGAAATGGAAGAGCTCCCAGAAGGAGAGACTTAGAAGATGCTCCTGCAGTCTGAGATTTTCTGTGTGCTGGAGAAGTGGGGAGGTCTTGTCTTAAAGCTCTCTGAAGAGGAGAGGGGAGAGAAAACAACCCTGACCTTATCTCTTCTCTTTGGAAGATGACTTAGCTACAGGATAGAATCAGAACAGCACCTTTTCCTCCTTCTTAGGGATGCAAACTATATTTCAACCATGCAAATAATTTTGGAACAGGAAAATCTCTCCCACTTCTACTAAATAGCCTACCATGTAAAACACTGACCAAATCTGCTTGTTATTAATAACTTATGACATTTTCAGAGTTTATCGGAATAGCACCCAAGATCCCCTGATGCTTCCTTGCATCCTTTCTATAGATGCAAACAGTAGCACCAGAAGGCTGTAACACCATAGCAAATACAGGGTAAACCCTTTCAGGTTCCTTTCTCTTGCTGACCTGACAGACACCTGGTCAGCTTTAACAACTGCCCTCTTCATAATGCTAGCTGTTTCTGAGTCATTGCCTACCTAGGGACAAGTTGGAGGAGAAATCTTGTGTTACATGACCTGGTTTTGCTGAACTTTGAGGCTCACACCCAAACTCAAAAGTAAAACTCAAAGGGAGTGAAGCAGGGAGTTCTCAGCCATACAAAAAACCACATTCCTCTTGGCCCTAACACAGTCTGAAAGCAGCAGAGCTCCCGTCTCTCCTCACTGCACAGATCCTCTTCTGCAGGAACATCCCTGCCCACACTCATTTAGGATACCCTCTAGCAAAAAAATGCCTTTTCCAGACACCCAGGTATCAGAGAGCTTTTTGGAGACATACAAGTCTCTCCTTCCCTCGTTTCTTCATTTCCTTGGGTCTCTTTCTACAGCAGAGAAGCTGCACTTTCAGATACCCTTAGCAACCTGAACTAAACCCAGAAGCAGCCAGGGAGGTGCACAGCCAGCACAGAGTTCTCTCCTCAAGCACAAGGAGGGCTGAGCAATGGGGTGATTTGTCTCACACAGTACAGCCATCTCTCCACCTGAACTGATCTCTCTTTGCATCCCCAAACCCCCACAGGCTGGCCAGGCCAGGTGCAAAGGGTCCCAAAACCACCAGTATCTCTCCAGTGCCTGCAAAGGAAGCAGCTCAAACACAAACAGGTGCACAGGTGACAACAGCTGCTGGAGTAGCTGCTTCCCACCAGGGAACCTCTTGTCTTATGTCTGGGCATAAAGTGAGGTACTGGGATTTGCCATTCATACAGTAAGCAGTGCTGGAGGCCTACAGACAAAATTTTAGGTGAAGACAACTTTTAACAAGGAGCAAGGATTTACTCATCTTCCCCTCTCAGTGTGGAACTATTACTGGAAGAGAAAATTGTATCATCACAGGGAATTTTGCTGCTAGCCCAGAGGTAAAATGCTGCATGTGACTTTTAAGAGACCTACTTTTGTCATATCATATATTTTAACATCACTTCTTTCCATCTACAGAGCAATTCTATCAGTCTTCCAGCACTGCTAACCCTTATGCTGCAGCATTTGTTCTGAAAACCTCAGTTTATAGAAAAAAAAACAGTATGTCTCCTTGTCAATTAAGGATGCTGAGACACCCTGGTAAGTCAGAACAGAAAGACAATGAAATAGACAGAACTTTTCAGGTTTGCAATAAAGAGAACGACCCTTTCCAGCAGATATTATTGACAGTGCTTATTGGAGTACCAGGGGGGAAAAATACAATAAAACCCCACAACCTCTGTACTTTTGTCTGTATTTCCTTCAATGGTACTGCTCCAGGCTATATTCAATAAAGAAAGAATCAAACGGTAAAATATAGGGAAAAAATGCAGCACAGATAAACAAAAACTCTGCTATGAGCATTTTTTTCTATAATACTTAGAATTTATCACAAAACAAACCTACTGTCTAGCCTTGGCCTTGTAAAGCAAATGGGACTCAAATCCTCTTGCTTTTAAAGGTGCAATACTGCATAACACACTTGGGATAAACCTATTCCTCCCCCTCAGGCTCCTCCATGTGCACTTCCCTTCTGCTACAGAAGCAGCTTTCCCTGCAGAAATGGAACTGAACTAACATGGACAAGACTTCAGCACCAACTTAGTGTCTCCCTAAACACAAAGTCAAGGACTTCAGAATGGATTTAAGGAAGATGTTCTTGCCCCTGCCTTAATCCTAAACTACTGACTGAACAGAAGAGATTTCCATGCAGCTTCTACTCCCAGTGCAAGACCCATGCTACCAGGTTTCCCATGCAATATGCAAAGGGATATTTTTATCCCCACTTTATAAGCAATACTACTATACTTCAGGATGTTTACTTTAAAGATCTTGCTCTAGCTGCTCAGATACAGCTGTTGAGGGCTGAGGAGTACCGGAGAGAGCTTGGTGGACTCTCTTTATGGAGATGCAGTAAACTCAGTTCCTTCCAATGTAGCAATTCTGGAGGATGCAAGGGAAGATCATGCTCAGGAAGCACCTCAATGGGGACATCAGAGTGCAGAACAGAACAATAACACAGAGCAAGAGCTAAGCTGTAACTTTCCTAGTGTGTAACATCTGTCAGACTGGGCACTTTACCTTCAGTGAAGACACAGTTGTCACCTAGTGCCCCTTCTTAGAGCAGTCATCTGCTGACAACTCACTGAACATCCCCTGAAGGGCATCTTGCTCGGTTACCCTTTCCACAGGCCAAACTCACCACTTCTGTCTGCCCTGCTTTTAACTTTCTGAGCCCTCTGGCACAGCTGAGGCCAACTAAATCATGATCTGACTGCTAATCTTCCTGTCTCTACTTAAATGGTAATGTGATGCTGCCATTATTCACTTCTGCTGTCCTGCTGCTGAGCCTTAAAGTCATCTCAGTTCACCATGAGCTGCTGTGCTTCCTGCCTTATTATGCAGCTCCACAGTGATCTTCATCCTCCCGGGGCTTGCCAAGGACATGATAGTTGCAGGGTGCTCACATGCACTTTGTTTGATCTCCAGGGGCATGCTCACTGAAGGCCAGAGGATCATGGCTAAATCAGCTACTCTGCAGAGTCATGT